CATATATATATCTTCCACGTCTTCGATGGAAAGTGGTGCCGGCATATCAGATTCCAGTCCCAGGAATCACTGACATGTCCAGCAGCAACCGTTCCATCCAGACAGCTACATTCCCCTCGTTCCAAGTGTGGAAAAAATTGTGTCAATTGCATTCAGAGACCACTTGACCAAATCCATAATTYCTTTAGTTTCAGACGGTAGGTGAAAAAAAATCTTGAAGGAAAAAGAAGGCAGCAAAGCAGAGGGGGGCAGGTTCAGGAGAGAGCGAATGCACGTCCTGTTCCTCTGAAGGCTAAGCAGATATGCAAACATAAGCAGATTATGCTAAACATGAGGGCCTCCCAGTACTCATTGGTTGTGATGCCAATTYCCATCATACGTATGTGCTGGGGGAGCTGTGAATTTAACACTGGAGGCAGATCTCTATTAGAATATTTGCTGACAGATGACCTGCTTGTTCTTAATCAGGGCAATGTACCTACCTTTAAACTTTTAATAGGGAGGAGGTCATTGATATAATAGTCTGGTCCATGGACTTGTTAAACAAAATCTGTGACTGKGTGGTGTCCACAGAGRAAACTATGTCAGATCACTGACAAATTCAGAAGATAGGGAAATCATACCCAGTCACTTASAGAAACCCCCCAAATACTGAATGGAATCCGTTTATCAGCAGTCTATCCCAGTTGATGGGTGGGAGAATTKCCAGGATCAATTCTGTACAAGACAATGGGACAGAGGTAACAAACATGGCTGATGCTGTGCTAATCGCCTATAAGTCTGCTTGTCTGGAGAAGGTCTGGAGGTCGTCAAWGCAGTCRGCCTAGTGGACTCCMGAGTTGTCTGGCCTCTGCAAGGCAGTAAGASGTAAATGGCAAAGATACAGATCCCAACCAAGCAAAACGAGGTGGGAACATTAGGTAAAGTCCTGTAATCATTATAACAGTGTTCTAAAGGAGGTAAGAGAATTTGGGACCACAAGATTCTCTGAAGCCTCTCACTCATGCACCACTTCTGAGAGGGTCTCCAACGCCTTTCCCTCCTGTTCCTGATAGGGTCTCCGACACATCTGTCACTTCACTCTTGAKCCTCCAGTTCCCTCTGCAATCTCCTTGCCCTGTGCCGGTCAAGCCCAGGGYCACCCACCTGAACGCTTGCCTCATCGTGGTCGAGTCCCAGGCCGCCCACCTGAACTCTGCTTACTGTGGGGTTACACCAAGGCACTTCACTTTACGTTGTTCATTTATTTATTTATTTATTTATTTATTTATTTGTTTTGTTTTCTTTCCCTGTGGGTTTTTGTTTTTATGACATTTGTATATCCTATGTGCCTTTAATCCTGTTTCTTCCTCCCCCTACCACCCTGGTCATGCTTTCCTGTGTTTTTGTTTCTTGGCCTCTGTCCTGTCTTTTGTACACCCTCCACCCTCTAAGTCTTGTTTGGAAAAACTTGGAGCCTTTCCTTAAGTGGGGGTTGGTACTGTCCCAGTTTGTGTTTTGTTTTTTCTTTTTCTGYTATGGTTTAGCTTTTTACTTTTAATGTTTACCTGTTTCTTGTMTCYGTTCATCAGTGTCTCCTGCAATTTCTCATTTTCTCCCTCAGTCTGTTCTYATTGTTTTTCCATTCAATCAGCCACTGTCACCTGTTGTCACTCCACATTCAGCCCAGCTGCCTTCCGTCTCCTCAKCAACTCACTTCCATTTATTCAGTCTTTTGTCACTTTCACATCAGTGCTGCATTGTGCTTGCTCTTGTTAGATATCGGTCTCTCTCCATGTTTGCCTGTGTTCTTCAGCTTTTCATGTTTTGTAAGTTATGCTGCCTCGTTTTTTTTTTTTGTTTGCTCTGTGATAAATTAGTTTTTTTGTTTCACCTCTGTTTTTCTTGTCTGTCAGCAACATGTCCAAAACATCCTGCAACCCGATACAATTTACTTTTATCTTTTGATGTTTTCATCCTAGCTGTTAATTTATCAGTCTTCTCGGATGTAAACTTAATTTAAATTGAGGCACTTTAAAACATTTAATATTCTTTCATCATAACTTTTCCATAGAAAACCACTTCAGACTGTCTGAGATATAATTTCTGCAACAACAGTAAACAAAGCACTGCCATATCTGTGGAATTTCTTTCATTTACCAAATTGTCTATTATAAGAACAGATATGTTATCTAATAAATTCTAACGTCAGGTATAGATATTTGTTGCTTTTTTCAGATTTCATTATAAACTTGCCTAAAATTATTACATTTTATTAATACACAACCAGAAGACATCATGAAATGCAATTTAATCTCTAGCTGTTTTTGGGACTAGATCACCCAGACTTCTAATATCAAATCTGACCAGCCTAAATATAATAAATCAGTATTAATAATGAAGACTAACAGAAATACATGTTTTTGTACAGAGGGAACTTTCTTCCATCAATAACTCAATCATACATCAAAGCATGCAAATTTAACATGGAAAAAGACATCTACTGCCCCATCTTCAAAGTAGGAGATATTCTCAGCTACGCCCAGCAGAACTTCAGTGAACTGGCAAACACGGTAAAAACAATTCTTGTTTATTACATTTTAAAGTGTAAAGTTGTTGAGTATACTGTTCATRTAAACAACTCTTTTCTCTCACAGTCTGACTTGCACTGGTATCTCTAGGCCTGTTTTAGGAGGGCGATATAAGATCTGACTTTTAGGGTGCTTAGGCACCAGCAGGGTTAGGGCGGAAGGTAAGATTTTTGTTGGTCAAGGTTTCCCACAGTGCTGTATAACCCTAGTGGGCCACCAGGCTTTAGTATAGTATAGTATAGTATAGTATAGTATA